CACACTCACACCCCCACCCACCTCACACCCACACCCACACCCATACTCACACCCACACCCACCCACATCCTCACACCCACACCCACCCACACCTCACACCGACACCCACACACCCACACCCACCCACACCCACACCCACCCACGCACTCACACCCACACCCTCCATATAAGAGTAAGGTACTTGTCTAAATAATAAAAAACATGTATCTAGCAGAAAAGTTATTAGAGTATGTGTCGATAAGAATATTATTCTTTCCAACCTCACTATACATTCTTTTCAAAGGTTTCTTCAAAGAAAAGAAACAAAAAAAAAGCAAGATGTTTTTGTCATGAAAATTCTTTTGCTTCTCTTGCAGGGTTGACACAAAAATAACACATTGAATAAGAAACAAACGAAGTCTTTCAACAACAGTAAAGAAAGAAAAAGAATTTTTTTTACTTTCTTTCGTTATCACTTGTTTTTCAACTATTCACCTTAACAACATACATTCAATATAATATTGATCTCAAGCATGGAATAGAAAATTACGATCTGATTGGCATAGTTAGAACTAAAAAACAGGCGAAATCTTTCGAAAATTCAATTACAGTAGGAATGTCTGGACAAACGAGCACAAAACCGCGTGGTCCTTTTAATTCTCGTATTGTTCAAAATTTTATTCTTATTTGGTTACATTCGAACTTTGACGAAATAGATGATAACGAATTTTCTAATTCAATCACCGAATTAAGACGAATTGTTAATACGGTGATTATATTTACGGATGTGGATGAATGTATTGATTCTATGGCTAACATTAAAGATGAAAAAATTCTTATGATTATTTCACATGAATTAGATGAAAATATTGTGCCAATTGTGCATGATTTTACTCAAATTAATGCCATTTATATTTTTTCAAAAAATAAATCACAAGACAAAGAATGGACACAACAATTGCCAAAGGTTAAAGACATTTTTTCTTCAATTTCATCCATTGGTCATGTCCTTAAACAAGATTCCCAAAATTGTGACCAAGATTCGGTTTCGATTAGCATTGTATCAACAAAAACCGGAAAATTAAATGAAAATTTGGATCAACTAGATCCAACATTTATGTATACACAAATACTTAAAGAAATTTTATTGACAATCAACTTCAATCAACAACATATTGAAGATTTTACTAATTACTATCGTGAAAATTTTGTTGATAATGCTATTCAATTGAATAATATCGAGCAATTCGAAAGAAATTATGCTAATTATTCGCCTATCTGGTGGTATACTTATGATTGTTGTCTTTACTCGGTGTTGAACCGAGCTTTACGGCTAATGGAAGTTGATACTCTCATAAAAATGGGATTCTTTATTCACGATCTTCATCAAAAAATCGTAGAACTACACTCTGAACAATTTAGTAAATACCATCAATTAGAGCAATTTATTATCTATCGAGGTCAAGGCTTATTGAAAACAGACTTAGAAAAAATGCAGGAAACCAAAGGTGGATTGATATCTTTTAACAATTTTTTATCTACTACCAAAGAATTAAGTATAGCTACTGGCTTTGCCAATAGTTGTCTTACTAATCCAGCGTCAGTTGGAGTTGTCTTCATAATGAAAATTGATCCTGCAATAAAGTCCACTCCTTTTGCTTCTATCAAAAATTTAAGTTATTACAAAACAGAAGATGAAATTCTATTTTCGATGCATACTGTTTTTCGGATCGACGATGTAACAAAGATAAACGGCAGCGATCGTCTATGGCAAATAGACTTAAAACAGACGAATGATAATGATCAACAGCTAAACGCACTTACTGAACGGATACGTCAGGAAATTCGAGGAACCACTGAATGGGATCAACTTGGGAAATTACTAATTAAAATTGGTCGATTCGATAAAGCAAATGAATTATACGAATACCTGCTCGATCAATCTCATAGTGATCGTGAGAAAACACATTTCTATCATCAATTAGGATGGAGTAAAAAGAGTCAAAGGAAATATGAAGAAGCCATTGCATGTTATAAAAAATCGCTGGAAATTAAAGAAAAAGTAATGCCTACAAATCATCTATCATTTGCTGTTTCTTATAATGAAATTGGTTCAGTATATGAAAAGATGAATAAACACACTGCAGCACTTATGTATTACGAAAAAGCACTTGTAATTCAACGAAAAATACTTTCGTCAAATGATCTTGGCTTAGCATCTACACTCAGTAAAATTGGGTCTATTTACGAAGAAACAGGTGACTACTTAAAAGCTCTTTCATTTCATGAAGAAGTACTTGAAATTCAACAAAATAAAGATCCTTCAAATAATCCTAAAATAGCTTATTCTTACAATAATATTGGTTCCGTTAATGAAAAGATGGGTGAATATTCGAAAGCACTTTCATCTCACAACAAAGCACTGGAAATTCAACAAAAAATACTTCCTTTAAATCATCCTGATTTGGCTCAAACCTACAGTAGTATTGGTTATGTATATGGTAAGATGTGTCAATATTCAACAGCACGTCAATATCATCAAAAAGCTGTTGATATGGGACAACGATCATTACCTGCTAATCATCCTCGTCTTCAACAATGGTTGAAGAATCTTGAATATATAAAAAGAAAAGCTTAAATGATTTATTTTTACAAAATAAAAAATTGTTAGCAATTATCCATACATCATCTTCACAGCAAATCTTAAGTTTTACAATAGAAGTCACAGAAATTTTGTTTAGAAAACATACGTTGATAAATCATTTTCGACTGAATACTTCTATGAACAATCAACTGTAAGAATATATGTATCTTGTTTTAACTCTAATATCAATATTTGTTAAAATCTTTTCCTCTGAACTTAATCAGCATTGAAAGTTCTAGGAAATTTATTTTTGACTAGTATGAGACAAACATATGATGAAAAGAGGTAAATTATTATTAGTTACTTGAATATCGATGAGAATTTATTTAAATATTCAACTGAAAAAGATATTTAATAGTAATTTAAAACAAGACGAGTGAAAGATTATTTGATTAATCAAGCTTCATTATTAAGATATAATATCCATCAATGTTTCAATTATAAAATTTGAACATTATTTATTGGCAAATGTTACGATGCTATGTCAAGATTTCTGAAGAATTTTTTATTTTTATTTTGTTGAATAAAGCTATAAATATGATTGAAACGTTAGGCAACCTGCCAATAATACCTCTCACCCACATGTTTTCGATACTTTATTTAATATCAGTCATATGCTTAATCGTTTTTCGTAATTATCAACCGAGCAATTCGGTTGGTGCTTTCAACAATTAAATATGAAAGCGTTTGAAATCTACTATATATCATAAATAAGATTAAAATACTATAATACGATATAGGTCATTATTCACGTTTTTCAATGACAATACGTATCATCGTTAACAATAGTAGGTTATCATACCATAGTATTCCAAAGAATAAAATTTACAAAAAGCATAATTATAACATTACACTATATAATAAAATATTGATGAAATATATATATTACAAAATTAATAAAATAAGTGACAGTATATAAACGTTTGATAAGTGTAACCATGATGATGACTAGATATTGAAGGTTTAGTGAATATAGCTGTAGTAGTTGATAATGATCTAATAATTACAAATATATTGAGTTTTCATATGATTATTTTTAAAACTTCATCGTTAAAAATGTTCTCGATACTCTTTGAACTAATTCAAGTTTTCCAAAACAAGATAAAAAATACTAAAATTCCAAGATTTAAAGAAAGTGATAAATTAATCGATACGATTTCTTTTTGTGCTTTTTAATAAGATCAATGAGTATTCTAGTCCGAAAAATTTTCACCAAGAAAATTAAGCTTTTTTTAAAATGGTTTAGAGAATATTGTAAAATTTTCTTTGTATTTATTTAGCTTTTTCAAATATAATGAAAACTGTAGTGGCAATCAGTTTATCACATAATGAAACCAAAATTGACTTCAGTTGAATTCAATCAGAAATTCACTGTTATATATAAAATAACAAGATCGTAGACGGGTATGGATGTGTCTTCGCTTTATCTATAGCCGCACTCACAAACACCCACACCCAAATTTCACAAAACAATGATTACTGTCGGAAGTTTTATATATGTTCTCGATAAACCGATTATTAAGTACGAATGCATCTGAAGCAAGGAAATTATTTTATTATGATAGAAAACTGATCATTTCATTTAATGAAATAGAGTCTTAAGTTGATAAAAATCACTGCTATTCATCATACACAAAGGTAATGATTAAAAAACGTTTTCAATAGGATTCAGCTGACATTGATTTGTGCTCGTCGTTTTCTTTCTGTCGTGTCATTGGCCAATTCCCCATCTGTCGCCTCAAACGGCTCAATGATTGTCACAATCGCCAAACCGACATCAGGAACATCGCACTATGTATAAAAAAAAAGAAAAATATCGAGTTTTGTTCTATAGGCAAACTAACATTGAATGTGTACCGGCCACCATAACCATGACAATTAAAATAACCACGAAAAGGGTCTAAGATGAAGTTAGCAGAGACGTTGGGCCATTTCTTACGAATATGTTCGATGATCACGTCTCGATACTAAACATACGTGAGCAATTTGTTATCAATTCAATATCATCAACGACGCAAGATTTATTATACCGTTTCGAACACCTCTTGTGGTTTTGATGGAGCATAGAGTCGTATTTGATCACCGAATTTAGGCAGCGGCACCTCCATAACTTCTCTACATCACACACAAATAGAAAGGTCAATAGAAATAGATTTATTAACTTACTCGTACGTAGGAGTCAAATAGATGATTGTACCATTGTTGTCATTCGAACTCATCGTGGTTGATCTAGACTAGGTACCGAACACAATCTAAAATAATAAGACACATGACATATATAAACAAAACTGTTCGACCACCAAAACAAGAAATTATTGTTAACGTCTACATGATGGAAGACAAATCTAAGTTAGTCAGTTCATATCTCAACAGATAACCGATTTAGAGATTGACATGTTTTGAAAGTATTCATCTGAAAATCGGTGCATAGTGTGGAAGAAGAAAATATTTTTGAAGAAATAGTTAACTGTTTTCTCTTTTCATCAATTCCATTTTTTGTCGAGTTTAGTTTATATAAAAATGCATTCAGTTCCTGAACAAATAACTAGTAGATCAACTAAAGCATTAAATCAAAAAGTTGTTTAAGTTAACGGCGGCATAAATATGCTTTATGCTAATATAATCTAGAAAAAAAAAATACATAATACAGTATGATATAAAGTGGAAAAAATGGTATAAGTAAAATATTTCTTTATATTCAGACAATAAAATAAGTCATCAAGAATAACTTAACGAAAAAAAGAAAAGATGAATGCTTAAAATTTCGAAAAACTTACTCAATAGCTTCATGTCATCTACGTAGACTTTGTAAGTATCAATAATACAATAAATACATAAGTCGTAAGATTGTGATCAGTTAGATTGTGCTAAATCGGACGGAAAAAAAAACATTATAATAAAATGACAAGACTTGTCTTCAAAATAAGTTATGTTCGTTAGTATTTTCGTATAAAATTAGCATTACTATAAAATAGGTGCCTTATCTACAACATATAACAGCAAATTAGGAATAAGAAATACTCAAAAATTATTGCTCGATAATGTAAAACAGTAAAAAAAATAGTCATCTTTTATTTGTTTAATCTTTAGTTTCGATAATGTTTAGTGGCACTAGAACAGTTGTAGGATAGGGACATCATCAAAGTTAAAAGGATGAAATCAAAAACTAAGTTTATAATAAAAACAAAAGTTGATCGTCGTTTAACTTATAAATAATCGCTTTAGATTAACAAAAATAAAACGAAAGAAAGTGCTTGGTTTCTTGTTATTGATATATCTGTTTTATGAAGAATCAAGAATTTTTATTGGAGTTAATTATTAAAAACAAACGGTTTACACTGTTGTCCTAGTTGCTAATATTGCTAGTTCCCTCTACTGAAAGGAGGGTCATACACCGAGCAAAGTTTGTCCGTTCGTAACTTCGTAACTTCGTTCGTTCGTTCGCACAGAACGAAAAGAAGTTTTTTTGACCTCTCATATCACTCATTTTACAACAAAAGCCCAGTGAGGTTATTTTTGGTCAGGATTTCGACCAATAGGGTTTTTTGACATTGCAGTTTCAACCAATAGGATTTCAGGGAGGGGAGCAAATCAGCCAATCAGATTTCTTTGGCCTGTACTTTGGCCCAGTAGGGTTATTTTTGGTCGGGATTTCGACCAATATGGTTTTTTGACATTGTGGTTTCAACCAATGGGATTTCAGAAGGAGGGCACATCAGCCAATCAGATTTATTTTGCCTATAGTTTGGCCTAGTAAGGTTATTTTTGGTCGGAAATTTCGACCAATAGGATTTTTTGACATTGCGGTCTCAACCAATGGAATTTCAGGGAGGGGGCGAATCAGCCAATCAGATTTCTTTGCCCTGTAATTTGATCCAGTAAGGTTATTTTTGGTCGGAATTTTGACCAATAAGATTTGTTGACAAGGCGGTTTCAACCAATGGGATTTCAGCGAGGGGGCAAATCAGCCAATCAGATTTCTTTGGCCTGCAACTTAGCCCTATAAGGTTATTTTTGGTCGGGATTTCGACCAATAAGAGTTCTTGACATGGCGGTTTCAATCAATGGGATTTCAGGAGGGGAGGGGCGGAGAGGCAAAT